CGCTGACTACAGGAAGCCCGAGGCAGAGTTGCTCTGCCCCGGGCTTCCTGGATTCAGCTGCTGATCAGTTTCAGCAGCAGCTGACTTGGGGACGCCTGGGGTTCTTAAGTTGATTCTGTATGTAAGTCAGAACTGGTGGTCAGTTTCAGCAGTGTCTGAATCTGGACGCCAGTTCCGACTTACATACAGATTCAACTTAAGAACAAACCTACTATCTTGTACGTAACCCGGGGACTGCCTGTACACAATAAGCATGTGCATAATCGATGGAAACGTCATTGACTACTCAACTAGCTGATTACATGCAATTTAACATCCCTACATGGTACCAGGATTTTGGAATCATTGTCAAGTGCTTGGTATTAGGCATGGTGACCATGGAAGGGCTGGGTTAAGCTGGTATCACAGTGAGCTGTTACTATCAGAGCTCCTCTAACTTCCCCACTCTGACATTTCTGTCCCTGGATCCAGAAGTTCATCTCTCTTCCATTCTAATGGCCTATTATGTTTTCAGATCCCATGGACAGTTCTACCGATCTAGACACGACTGGTTCACTCAGCCAAGTTATTGATCGGTTGCCTAAGCCTACAAGGAAGAACAGGTACATAGAATGTTCCTTGATCCCATGTTCATTTCTGTTTGTCTTAGAGGGATAATCCCCCCGCATGGCATGGCATGGCATAGAAGCTTGGAGTACCAGGGCCACTGAAGTTAATGGATGTGTAACAGGACAATAATGAATCAGTTCAGTATGCAGTATTAATTCCCATCTGGAAAATTTAGCACATTTGCTGGATATTTAGGATTATAGAACACTAGAACTGGAAGGGACCTCGAGAGATCATTGAGTCCAGTCCCCTGCCCTATGTATAGAGTCCTGCGTTTGTATTCAAAGCTGCATCCATATCCAGAAATATGAGTTGCAGACAATTGCGTGTGGATACCTATGGATATAAAGTGGATAACTGCAGATTTGCAGGATTCAAGATACAAAATTTGTATCCTCATTCACATTCATATCTGCAAAAAAGAGCCATGGATATCTGCAGACTTGCAGGGCTTTATCTTTGTGATCCTCTGGTTTGGTTCTCATGTGCTGAATAACAGCTCTGAATTCAGGGGACAGTGATTTCTTTTGTTTAGATGCTGAGGGTGTCTGAAGGACCCATTTGTGAATAAAAATAAACGAAGAAAACAACCTGACTTAAAAACTTCAGTGCAAAATGTGTGATATTTCGGACTGTCTAAATCAGTGGGCTACAACCTTTTTATACCCAACATCACTTTTTAAATGTCAGGACAAGCCAAGATCTACCCTGTCCCTTCCCCAAGAACCCACCCACTCCTTGAAGTCCCACCCTCTCTAGTCCCCTTTTCCATCATTTGCTATCCCTAGCCCTTATACGGTCTCAGGGTACGGCTACACTGCTGCTTTTTTTCGATACTTCTGTTGGAAGAAATTTTTCCAACATTTGGCCTGTCTAGACTGGGCCAAATGTCAGAAAAACTCTTTTCTTGGAAGCTCCCTCCTTCCTCATGGAACAAGGAATAGAGGGGCTGCCAAAAGAGCGTGTTTGCCAGAAAAACTCCTGCAGTCTAGTTGTACCCACACTGGGTGGAGACAGGTGGTGTGGGCTCTGGGGTGTGAATGAGGGATTTAGGTGTGGGGAAGGGTGAGAGGTGCAAGCTCTGGGAGGGAATTTGGATGCAGGAGGAGGTGGAGAAGAGGATGCTGGCTCAGGGAGGGGGCTCCAGGCTGGAGAGTGTTGGTCAGGTGGAGGGTTGGGGTGCTGAGCAAGCCACAGGCTTGTGGATGTGAGGGTGCAGGAGTTCAGGTTGGGGGGCGTGAGGGGCTCAGGGCAGGTAGGCTGGGAGTATGATGGGCTCAGGACACAGATTTGCAGTGTGTAAATGGTGCAAGAGTGCTGGGGCAGAAGCCTGAGGATGTGGGGGTGCAGTAGTTTGGGGATGAGAGGCTCAGGACAGGGGGTTCCAGTGTAGGCTCAGATTTGGGGTCAGGGTGAGGTGTACTGGGGTACTATACTGTGGCCAGATGAGGGCTTGACCCCAATTGGGGGCTTGTTGGCCAGGCTTGGTTTATAAATGAAATATTCTGTCAAATACAAATGAGATACTAAAACACAATTCCTCAAACCTCACTAATGTGGCCTCAACTGTGCGGGGGCAGGGTGCTGGGGCATGGTGCTGGTGGGTGCTGGGGAAGGGTGCCAATGTTTTCAGGGGAAGGGGAGTGGGTGCCAGGGGAGGACGGCCATGGGG